TTTACTAAAGAGTGCCATCCTGGCATCTCTTTCTGCAGGAGCAGGAAAGGTGTTCCTGGCTGCTATCAAGTAGCATAGGTGGGTTCATAACTGAATGTAAGTGGTTGATGATGGTCTCAAGTCAGTCTTGATTGTGGAAGAGGTTTCCGTTCAGGTTTTGATTGCTAGGTAAGAACATCTTTGGTGAGTCTCTGATCCTTCCCAGTGAGGAATTGCTCACCACTTTACAACAGGCCAGAAGGAAAGACTTAATTGATATCTAGGTAATGTTTTTATGCTTTGTCTTTAATACAGTTTGGTGGCTTCTATGTGAGTGTATGTATACATATTACACACCCTGTGAGTACAAAATAATTATTTCTGGAACGTCTTCAACAATACATATTTCCTTTTTTATTTGGTGAAAACAAGATATTAACTTGCCTGCAGTTGTATGTGCCTTCATTGGTAGACCTGGCAATAAAAAAAAAAAAAAGAAGCTTCTCATTGCCATCTATGAAAACAAGTGGAAAAGTACCTCAAGTAGAGAAATTTGTATTCTCCACCTTAAACAAAGAAGTATGTGGACATCCCTTTTCATAGCCTTAAAACCGTGCAAATATGGATAACAGCATCATGATGAGGGTTAGAACCTGTTGATTGAGGGGTTTCTGTCCTGTCTGTGACTCACCATGTATGTTTGATGAGGCCAGTTAATAGCCTTGTGCTTCAGGTTGTCTCATCTGGAAAATACCTTGTATCTGGGCTAAATACCTTGTAAAGACATCAAGATTAATGTCTCTTAAATATTTGGAACTATTGGTAAAGGTTCTGTGTCTTATGAATACAAGATGTTATTTTATAGGCCTGTGAGCTGAAGTCTTAATGTAATAACAGTAATGGATATTGTTAATATTGAAATCTCCAGAGAATGTATTTTAGCACCTATCTACCAACAGTATACTGTTTATTTAAAATGGGTGTATCCCCGTACCGGCCAGCTGCTAAAAACATTAAAATAAAATGGGTGTAAAATATTTTAAAATGAGCTGGACTGGTGTGTGGTAGGTTTTGCTGCTTTGTTTTTTTCTAATGAGTGAAAACTAAGCTAATAGAATACTAATAATGCACTCGGATGGACATTGCCAGGCAACACAAGTTGTTTCTGTTTTCTGTTACCACTTTAGGTTAAGTTTTACTATCAGTAGTAATGGATAGATTTTAAACCTTATTTGTCAACCTCTAAAAATTGAGTTTAAAAGTCGTATGTAGTGAGGTCCCCTGTTTTCATAATATTTTTATGACACTTACTGAAGTGATTTTTCATCATACGTAGAGTAAAATTTGAAGTTTCTCTACCGTGGGCTGTTAACTCCTGCATGACCCAATCTCTGCCTGCTTCTCCCACCTCATCTCATCCCACGCTCCACTCTGCTTCCGTCCTCCTGGCTGCTTGTCAGGTTGTAGAGTGTGCTGTCACAGGCAAGCTCCTCCTCTTGCCAGCTTCAACCAAAACATCTCCTCAGAAAGACCTTTCTTGTGACCTCCCTTTCTAAATCGGGCCCTTTGTCCAGTACCACCAAATCCAGTTTGTCTGTTTTTCCTTTTCTCTCTTACACTCCATATCACATTGGTCAACAATCCTTTTAGATTTACTTTGAAGACATGTCACAATCCTGCCCCTTCTCCCCATCTCCCTCTGTGTCACCTCAGTACAAGCCACTGTCATCTCTTACCCAATGACCACAGTGTCCTTCTGTCACTCTGCTTCTGTGTTTGCCTTTCAATCTGTTTACACTTAACAGAGCGATTCTGTCAAGGCTCACTGAGTTCCATCTCATTCGGGGTAAAAAGCCAAAGTTTTGACTTCCTTGGTTAGGGCCCCCCACCCCCACCCCCTGCACATTCTGCTCCCTCTGCAGTGGTCCTTCCTAGCACCAGTCCCTCCCCTACTGGGGTCTTCGGGCTTGTTTGCCTGGGTCTGGAGTGCTGCTGTCTTAGGTAGATCCGTGTGGATCACCTGCTCAGTTCCTTCACATCTAAGTCTAAGGTCACTCTTTTTACGTGTTCTTAAATTTCAAACTCCCACATCCACACTCCTCCTATACACCTTCCTTGCTTTATTATTTCTCTTTAGCACTTATGGGGCACTTCAAAAAGTTCATGGGTGGGGAGAGATTGGACAAGGGGTATAAAGAATAATTACTATTTGTAACAATATATATGCTAGTAATATTGATTTCATCAACATATCTCAATGTTGAACCCCAAAAATATGTAGAATCAATTTTGATTCAATAAATAAATAAATATTTTTTTAAAAGTTCATGGAAAGATTTGTATTACTTTTCAATCCTACTTTTTCATGAACTTTTTGAAGTACCCTCGTACTGTTATCTGTTATATATTTTATCATGCTGTTTCTTTTTTTTTTTTTTTTTTTTTTTTTTTTTTTTTTTTTTTTTTTCCGTGTCCACCAAAAAATCGCAACCCCCAGTGTTGCCCCCGGACCGGACCGGGGCCCCGCAACGGGAATTAAACCCACCATACCGCGCTCACCGACCTAAGTAACTTCGTCAGACCA